CTTTTATTCGAGTCTTACCAAGGAGAAGACCACGATGAAAATGTTGAGTGGCTCTCACATGAATAACTGTTGAACTAATAAGAGCCCATTTTACCTTGTCTTCTCCTGTTGAATAAAATGTTTGCAGATTCCAGCTTAGTCCATGGCACTCTTGCACTCTTATTATTTTCATATCATTCAGTCACGCAAGTGAAAGGCAATAATGATGACATCCGATGAACTGGCCGTGGCAAGGAGAAACTGGTATGAACTCGACTTGTCTTGTTTATGTAAATATGTTTAACCTAGTGCCCATGATTCAGCCCATTATGATTAAACATGTTTGCAATGACAATTAGAGGTTATAGTTTCTCATGCCATGCATAAGTAGCCGAGAGTGGATAATAATTTATCTTGGATATCAACATAGTGTTAAAATGATTGTGATGTAGTATGATGATATGGTATCCTCCTTTGAATGTTCGAGTGGCTTGACTTAGTACATCTTCATGCATGTATTTGAATGAAAACCAACATAGCCTGTATAATGTTTATGTTCACGGTGTTCATATCCTACTCATGCTAGTGTCCAATGTTACTTATGCATAATGCCTGGTCATGATCGTTGTTGCTCTCTAGCGGGCCACTTCCCAAATCTTAAAATTGCTAGCCTTCGTCTGTACTAAGCTGGGATTCTGCTTGTACATCAAAAACCTTGAACCCAAAGTTATTCCAGATGAGTCCACCATACCTACCTATATATGGTATTACCCTGCCATCCTAAGTAAATTTGCATGTGTCACCTCTAAAAACTTCTAAAAAGTTTTATCCGTTTTGTGTGCCTGGATCATTCATGGAACGACAGGAGGTGGTTGATGTCTTCCGTGCTAAGCATGTTATCCTCAGGTCGAGTGTTTATTCACTCGCCATCGCACAAGGAAATGGGCAGTAATAGGGATTCCCAGTCCCGAACTCAAAAATGCAAATAATTAAACAAAACTCCCCAGGGACTGTTGTTGGTTGGGACGGCACCCGTTGTTTCGAACAAGCCATGGAATGTGATTGTTGGTGGAGGGGGAGTAAACCTTTACTTTTATCACTTGGGAACCACCACTAGCGTGCTTAGCATGGAAGATGTTGATAACTGATGGTCGTGAAGTGAATAAGAAGGGTGCATGTCTCAAAATGTCATTTATCTATGTTTTAAAAATTGAGCTCTGGCACCTCTACAAATCACTGCTTCCCTCTGCGAAGGGACTTTCTATTTACTTTTATGTTGTGTCATCCCCTTCTATAAACAAGCGCCAGAAACTGAGTAGAGCACATCGGTCATGATTTATGCATTGTGTATAGCTAATGTTGGGTGCACCATGACTGGATCTTTTCTACCATGAATTACAATGTTTAGTCGCTGCTTGAACTTTGGAGGTGCTCGGCATTTATGTTTTGCGATCTCAGAAAGGGCTAGCGAGATACCATTATTGTCATATTATATCATGGTTGTTTTGACAACGTGTTGCCATTTGAGTTATCTTATTATTGCTCGCTAGCTGATTATTTCATTAATATAAATCATATTAATCATTAAGAGTTATTGTTGACATGGTTAGTTATAATGTTGGCTGAAAACCTGGATGTTGTTTAAGCTTATTTATGCAAACAAGAGCAAAAGAGTTCGTAAAAGTTTTTCTTTATCACTTTCAGTTTATCAGCTGAATTTCTTGAAGACAAGCAAAGGTTTAAGCTTGGAGGAGTTGATACATCTCCAATGTATCTACTTTTTCTCACGTTTTTCCTCTTGTTTTGGACTCTAATTTGCATGATTTGAATGAAACTAACCCCGGACTGATGCTATTTTCAGCAAAACTACCATGGTGTTGTTTTTGTGCAGAAATAGAAGTTCCCGGAATGGAAGAAACTTTTTGAGGATTTTTTTATATCAATAAAGAGAATTTCTGCAGCCAAGACCTGCCGGAGAGGGGCACCTGGGTGGGCACAACCCACTAGGGCGCGCCCGCCTCTCCTGGCGTGTCCAGGTGCGTTGTACCCACCTAGCACTACTAGGGAAAAGCTTATACACAGAAGTTTATCAGTAACGCGGTTTAAAAATGGGTGCTACTGCTAATTAGTAGTAGCGAGGGGTATAAAAACCGCGCTACTACTAAATTGATAGTAGTAGCGAGGGGTATAAACCCGCGCTGCTACTAAATGATCTCCAACGATGCCCCCGGAATAGGCCATAGTAGTAGCATGGGTTTGCTAGGCCGCACTAGTAATAGAAACATAGTCGTAGAGCTAGTCACGAAAAGCGCTACAACTAACCCAGCCCACCCAACCCAGCGAGACAACCAACCTAGCCTAGCGAACAACCACCATCGCTCTCTCATTTTCTCCTCTTCCTCCCGCGAACACTCGCCGCCGCCACCAACGTCGGGCGATTCCGACTACTTCTGGCGGCCGTCGCCGGAACTGCACACCCACGAGCTCTCACGACGGTTCTTCCTTCCCTCCGACCAGATCTGCTCCTCATGGCGGCAAGCGCTCGCGCGCGACCCCTCCCCGCGGCTAGGGTTTCGGCTGCCTCCAACTCCGGTGCGGTGCGATCTCCTCTCCCCTCGATTCATGCCCTCTCCTCTCCCCTTCTTTCTTCTCTCCTAACCCCCTCACCTATTTCTTCGGTTCGGTGCAGCAACCGCCCTCCTCCATGGACGAGGACGACCACCACGGCATGCACGTGGTCGAGTTCGTCGTCGCCTACTCCGGTGCGGTGCTGGACCAAGGACCTCCGCCTCAACAGATCCTAGCTTGGGTAAGCACCCCCATCCCCATGGCCGTTTCATTTTCTTCCTCTGCCCCTCTTCTTTTTTCTTCCATGAATCCTCTGGTTTCAGTTAATTAGCAGCACAACCATAGCCACACAAAGGCGTAGGAGCGTTACTGCATGTATAAAACTAAATCTCTGTAATGTTTTTTGTTATGTTACCATGGCTGCCAAAGAGTGTTTGTGTCTTCTGTTTCTCAATATGATATGCTCACAAGTTTGTTGATACATGCAGATTGGTGGTCTCTGACTTTGCAACAGATGTTATTGTGCATATCGGTGAAGTCAGATTTTACTTGCACAAGGTCAGTGTGCTAGTATTTTTAGCAATTTTTGCTGAGGTCAACACTAAGCATTTATATTTGCTTCTACAAATAACCGCAAGGGTGGTGGGAGGAGATATATGTTACATCCTGCAACACGTAGTTCTTCATACACAGAATGTTCAACTGTCGGGGTCTCTTTGTCATGCCATCAAGAGTAGTAACATCATCAACATTTATGCTTCACGTCTGATTGCTGTTGGGCTGTCTCTTTCCAATCTACTGGACCCTGTTTCACACACAAAATATTTTCACTGCCAAGCTGATTATCAACACCACCTTAAAATATTTGTGATGGCCTAATAGACTGCCTTAGGCAACCTAACCAAACAAATCGAAGAATCATCCATTACATTTATGTTACCATTATTCAGACTAAAAAACCTTATAGCAACCATATGCCGCTTTGGTGTTACCACCATCCAAATTTTGTTCTTCAGATATGCAAAATTATTCATTGTTCATCGGTTGCTTAGGGGAACATGGTTACCTTGGTGAGTCATCTCTAGTGAATTAGGTGTTGAAAATGTTTTCTTATGTATGTTTCAATGGGAAGTCTGATCATTTGCTGCTCAAAATCCGACAAATCGGAGGAGAAATGCGCGAGAAGCAAGTCTATAATCAACGGCAAGGTTGGTCGTGTATTCCTATTCTTTGAGTTTTCTCTGTTTCAACCATACAATTCATCTAGCATACGGTATCGTCGTTGCAACCTTTCAATTTGGCAACTTGGAAGTAGTTTATAGTTACTGTATTGTGAGTGTGTGACCTGAAAATAAGGTAGCAAATTACTATAGGTACTACTTCAAAACCATGTACTCCTACTCACTATTTCTGTGTGTCATGTGTACTACCAACTTAGTGATGTTTCTTTAATTCCCATAGTCTACAAAATTCATGCTTGCTACTGTATGTTTGTGCCCCTAGCTTGCATGCTGATGTTGTATGTGCATGGTGGTGGCCTCCTTCCTGTTGTTATTTGCTTCATATTGAGAATTGTTTTGTAAAAGATAATGAGATGGACGCAGTTAGGAGATGATGCTACCAAGTTCAAACTCTCTTGAATGGATAGATCATGGTGCAGTTAGGAGAAGTGATGTTATGAATATGTTGTATGCAAGTTCAATGTGTATTAGAAAAAGTTCAGCATTAAATTATATAGCAAATACACTACACGGGGATTTGGCAAGCAGTTTTGTAAAAAAGTTTATGGTGATTTGCTCCGACATGATTTTGTGTGTGTATTTTGGCAGCTCAACAAGATGAACCATACAGGCGAGGAACCTCCCAGGCGCAGCAACTCCTCCGTCCAAGTTGAGCGCTGGGCGTCGTCCACCCTGTTGGCCACCAGGACGTACGAGGCGACGATTGGCAGTCTCGGTGGACCGGACGCCAACATGCCGATGAGGCTGAGAGCCACAAATAGGTAGCACCTGGTGATCCTGAGAACAGAGTGCTTCAGAATTCCGCAAATACTTCATGTGTAGTACAATTCATATATGCACACCTTGGTAATTTAAACAAGCTTATGCCTTGCCGTCGGAACAATGAATTCAAGGTTTTGCAGGATCCAACGTGTCGCTAAGGCTGGCTGTGAGTAGAGTGTGAACTCATAGAGGATACGAATCATATCTCTTGTACCATTTGATCGTTTCATGGAACAACTAGCTAGTGCTCTGTTTTCTTGGGCTAGATGCCTAGAAAAATACATGTAAATTTTAGTCTCTGTAGTTTCAACTCTGAACTGTATGCTAGTTTTTAATGATGACTATTACTCTGGTTGTCGCTATTGATTCATGTGCATGTGCTAGAAAGAAATAAAATACCCTACTAGATTTGGATGTGGACGCTAACTAAGAAGTTTTCACTTTCCCGACATGGGCGCAGGGTTGATTGACGCGGACTACCGCGGCCTGGTGGGCAGTGTGCTCTTCAACGACTCGGAGGTGGACTTGGTTGTGAAGACCGGCGACCGCGTCGCACAAATGATCATCCAGGTAATCTCGACGCCGGAGGTCGCCGAGGAGGAGGACCTCGACGCCACAGTTCGGGGGGAGGTCCGCCTGCATCTAAACTCTGAGTCTTGGTAGATACATCTAGAGAAGTGGTCTGTTTAGGTCGATGGAAAGCTAGGGAAAGTACCCACCTTTCAATGATAGTTGTGTGCGTATGATATGGGATGTCGTGATTTCTTCCTGTTCAGATGTTCACTATTGTATCCATGAATGCTTCAAGTGTTAAAGATGGTTCTGTGACCTGAGCTTATTTTTCATTGGACGTGTCTCTGATGGAAGCAACTGCATCTAACTTTTATTTTTTAATTCGCAATTAGTTAGTAGTAGCGTGGGAAACAACAACTCGCTACTAGTATTTAGGATAGTAGTAGTGCGGGTGTGAAATAGCAGTAGCGTGGATGGCACACGCTACTACTAACAAAGTTAGTAGTAGCGCGGGTTTAACCCATGCTACTACTACCTATTAGCTGCTGCTAGTAGCCTTTTCCCTAGTAGTGTAGTGGCCCCGCTGATGACCCCCTTGATACTATAAATTCACATTATTCTAGAAAAAATAGGGAGAAAGAATTATCGCGATCCACGAGATGGAGCCGCCGCTAAGCCCTGTTCTTCCTCGGGAGGGTAGATCTAGAGTCCGTTTGGGGCTCCGAAGAGGGGGATCTTCGATCTTCGTCATCACCAACCTATCTCCCTCGCCAATTCCATGATGCTCCCCACCGGGAGTGAGTAATTCCTTCGCAGGCTCGCTGGGCGGTGAGGAGTTGGATGAGATTCATCATGTAATCGAGTTAGTTTTGTTAGGGATTCGTCCCTAGTATCCACTATGTTCTTAGATTGATGTTGCTTTGACTTTGCCATGCTTAATGCTTGTCACTTTGGGTCCGGGTGCCGTGATTTCAGATCTGAACCGTTTATGAATTCATCATTATATCCATGTTTTAGATCCGATCTTGCAAGTTATAGTCACCTACTACGGTTATGATCCGGCAACCCCGAAGTGACAACAGCCGGGCCCACTCCCGGTGATGACCGTAGTTTGAGGAGTTCATGTATTCACTATGTGTTAATGCTTTGTTTTGATTCTCTATTAAAAGGAGGCCTTAATATCCCTTAGTTTCCAATATGGACCCCGCTGCCATGGGAGGGTAGGACAAAAGATGTCATGCAAGTTCTTTTAATAAAGCACGTATGACTATTTATGGAATACATGCCTACATTATATCGATGAACTGGAGCTAGTGCCGTATCGCCCTAGGTTATAACTATCTCATGATGAATATCATCCAACAAGTCACCGATCCAATGCCTACGAATTTATCCTTATTGATTTTGCTGCGTTACTACTGCTATCATCACTATAACACTTGCTACAAATTACTGCTATCACTGTTACTGTTACCGTTGCTACTGTCACTACTATCAAAACTATCATATTACTGTGCTACTGATCATATAGTTGTAGATAATTAATCTCCAGGTGTGGTTGAATTGACAACTCAGCTACTAATACCTTCAAATATTCTTTGGCTCCCTTGTGTCAAATCTATAAATTTGGGTTGAATACTCTACCCTCTAAAACTATTGCGATCCCCTATACTTCTGGGTTATCAGCGTGCCTCGTGTTCGTCCAGGGTGCTCAGGATTCCCGAGGGCCTCGGTCAGCTCGTCATTCTCTCTGTCGGGAATGAATGTCCCTTGTTGCGCTGGGGCGATACACTTCTAAAGCTTCTTGACGGGTATTGTAAGTTGCTCATCCGTCCAAATGCACTTCCCTATTTCAGGGTCCAAAGTTCCCCCAACCCCAAAGAACCAAGTCCTTGAACGGTCTAGCCAGTTCAATGTATCTGGTTCGACCCCTTTAACAATCAGGTCATTCTCAGCTTTGTCCCACAACAACCGGGCTTTGAGGTAGCCACCTGACCCCGTGTGATGGTGATACGTCTCCAACGTATCTATAATTTTTGATTGTTCTGCTGTTTTATTATCAATCTTGGATGTTTTATAATCATTTTATAGTCATTCTATATCATTTTTTGGTACTAACCTATTGACATAGTGCCAAGTGCTAGTTGCTATTTTTTCATGTTTTTTACATCGCAGAAAATCAATGTCAAACGGTGTCCAAATGCCACAAAACTCTATGAAGATTTTTTATGGGCCAGAAGGAAGGCAATGTGCCCTGGTTGCACCTAGGGGGGGGTGCCCCGTGGGGGGCACAACCCATCAGAGCGCGCCAGGAGGCCCAGGCACGCCCTGGTGGGTTGTGCCCACCTCGGTGCCCCCGGACCGCCTCTTTGTTCTATAAATACCCCAAAAATACTAGAACCTAGGGGAGTCGACGAAATATTCATCCAGCCGCCGCAGAGTCCAGAACCACCAGATGCAATCTAGACACCATCTCGGATGGGGTTTACCACCTCCATTGGTGCCTCTCCGATGATGCGTGAGTAGTTCTTTGTAGACCTTCGGGTCCGTAGTTAGTAGCTAGATGGCTTCATCTCTCTCTCTTGATTCTCAATACAATGGTCTCTTGGAGATCCATATGATGTAACTCTTTTGCGGTTTGTTTGTTGGGATCGATGAACTTCGAGTTTATGATCAGATCTATGTTTTTATATCCATGAAAGTATTTGAGTTACTTTGATCTCTTTTATGCATGATCTCTTATAGCCTTGTATTTCTTCTCCGATATTTGGGTTTTGTTTGGCCAACTTGATCTATTTATCTTGCAATGGGAAGAGGTGCCCTGTAGTGGGTTCGATCTTACGGTGCTTGATCCCAGTGACAGAAAGGGAACCGACACGTATGTATCGTTGCTACTAAGGATAAAAAGACGAGATCTATATCTACCACCATATAGATAAATGGATCTTGTATACATCATGTCATCGTTCTTATTGCATTACTGCATTTTTCCATGAACTTAATACATTAGATGCATGCTGGATAGTGGCCGATGTGTGGAGTAATAGTAGTAGATGCAGGCAGTAGTCGGTCTACTGATCTTGGATGTGATATCTATGTTATGATTATTGCCTGGATATCATCATAATTATTTGAAGTTCTATCAATTGCCCAACAGTAATTTGTTTACCCACCATTTGCTCTTTTTCTCAAGAGAAGCCACTAGTGAAACCTACGACCCCCGGGTCTTCTCTCTCACATATTTTCCTTACGATCTATTTTTCCTTTGCATTTTATTCAGATCTATTAAACCAAAAATCCAAAAATACCTTGCTGCAATTTATTTTATTTGGTGTTCGATCTATCAATATTTACAACTTTATCTCCCGTCACTCACCGTTTCTGGCGCCGTTATCCGAAAGGGATTGACAACCCCTTTAACATGTCGGGTTGCGAGGTGTTGTTATTTGTGTGTAGGGGCTGTTTACATTGTGTTGCTTGGTTCTCCTACTGGTTCGATATCCTTGGTTTCATAACTAAGGGAAATACCTATCGCCGATGTGCTACATCATCCCTCCCTCTCTAGGGAAATACCGACGTACTTCCAGCTACCATCAAGGAGAATTTCTGGCGCCATTACCAGGGAGGATCTTCAACTTAACCAGGTTCCTAATCACAAATCTCATCTCCTTGTAATTTACATTATTTACCATTTGCCTCTTGTCCCCCCTCACTTCACAAAAATTTGCTGTTTTATTCGCCCCTGTTTTTCGTTCGCCGTTTTCTTGGCGGATCTATTTTTGAGTGCAATCTTGTTGTGTGGTCATGATGACTCAAGAGAACACCAAGTTATGTGATTTCTCAAATACCTACAAGAATGATTTCATTGGCTCTCCGCTTGCTCCTCCCGCCACTAGTGCGGAGACTTGTGATATACTGCTTTGCTGAATCTTGTTATGAAAGACCAATTTTCCGGTACTCCTAATGAGGATGTCATGTCCCATCTTAATACCTTTGTGGAATTATGCGATATGCAAAATAAAAAAGATGTGGACAATGATGTGGTCAAGATGAAATTATTTCCGTTCTCTTTGCGTGATTCTGTAGAAATTTGGTTCTCTTCTTTGCCTCTCAATAGTATCGATTCTTGGAATAAGTTCAAAGATGCTTTTATCACTAAGTATTTTCCTCCCGCAAAAATTATTTCCCTTAGAACCCAGATCATGAATTTCAATCAACTTGAACATGAGCATGTTGCGCAATCTTGGGAAAGGATGAAAATGATGCTAAGGAATTGCCCAATTCATGGGTTAAATCTTTGGATGACCATACAAAAAATTTATGCGGGATTGAATTTTGTTTCTCATAATCTTTTAGATTCTGCCATGGGTGGTACTTTTAAGGAAATTACTCTGGGTGAAGCCACCAAATTACTTGATAATATCATGGCAAATTATTCGCAATGGCATACCAAAAGAGCTCTTACTAGTAAAAAAGTTAATTCGGTTGAAGAAATTTCTTCTTTGAGTGAAAAAGTTGATGCTCTTGTGAAATTGGTTGCTAGTAGAAGTGCTCCTATTGATCTTAATGATATGCCTTTGTCTACTTTGATTGAGCAAAATAGTTATGCCATTGATGTGAATTTTATTTCTCGCAATAATTCCAACAACAATGCTTATAGAGGAAATTTAATCATAGGCCTTTTCCTAGTAATTCCTCTAACAATTATGGTAATTCCTATGAAAACTAATCTTATAATAATAATAGGAACACCTCTGATCTTGAGAACAATATTAAAGAATTTATCATACACAAAAAGTTTTCAACACTTCCATAGAAGGAAAGTTGAATAAGATTGATGATTTGTCTAGAAGTGTTGATAGAATTGCTCATGGTGTGGAAAATCTCAAGATGAAAATTTTTGTGCCTAAAGTAGATGAATCAATTAAAGATCTTTATGTTTCTATGGATGAAAGTAAGAAAAGAACCACTATGCTTAGTGCTAAAAGATAATTTTTAGAAAAAGCTCTTTCTAGTGATTATTCTTACAAAAGTGATGAAGATCTTAAAATGATTGGTGTTTCTTCTATTGATTCCTTGTTTATTAATGTTAGGAATGATGAAAAAGGGACTGGAGAAGAGTCAACTTTAGGTAGAAGGCATCCCAATAT